CCCCAAAACCCCAAAACCCCAAAACCCCAAAACCCCTAGGTTAATAACGAAGATGGAAGCAAATAAATATGAAGTTCTCAATTGCTTAAATTTTGGTAAATAATCGAAGGTACATTCTAAAAGAACTTTACAATGCAAGAACTAAGTTATGCTTCATGCTCATCGATATTTATGCGTCTGTGGGCAAGATAGTGATCAATCATGGTCACCATTTCTTCAGAGGTGTAGCTAAAATTCAAATGAGCTCTCTTTCCTTGCATAGCTATTGCGTACAAGTCGTAGGTCTTTGCTGCTTCGAGTTCATTCACAAAAGTTCCAATGTACTTCTTCTCATGGTCTACATTTATTAAGGCTTGCCAGTTAACGTTATTATTTAGTCACTCCGATATATTTAGACCTCCTCCCAAGGTACTTATTTTTAGTGTACCTCGTCTTTTTTGTCGAATTTTTGAAGGGTCCAATATTGTTCTTAATAATGATTCTTCTAATAATAGGTAGTCTATCTGAAATATCAAGCCTCCATGTTCTATTCCTTCGCTGTATAACCACTCTGTCTTTCTCAAGAGCTTCCTTATGTTCTTCAACTGGCGTCTGGCTCTTCTCTGGGAAAGTCTGAGCATCCCCCGTTTCTATTTCTTGTGGGTCCACTTCCAGCTTTGGACAGATCCGGGAGCTTCTGTTTGAGGGTTTTCAGCTATAATTAGATTATTTAAGAAGCTTTTTCATTAAGTTCAAGGTCTAGTGCGACTTTGTTATTTTCTCTTAAATTTTTACCCTAGGTTGTAAGAATTCTTCAAGCCTCTTGAGGAGGGAGAAGAATCTTGATCCTCACTTGATCAAACTCGTTTGGCTCTTGAAGTTGAGCTGCATGCCTCGGATCAGTCTCAAGTAGTCCTCTCAATTTTCCTAAAAGCTATATCAGATTTTTTATCCAAAAGAGAATTTTTTTGAATGGTATTTCGAAATTTGCCAAAGTTCATTTTATTAATTATTATTAAACTGAGTTTACTAGTTCTTATATATATGTCATCCGAGTTTTTATCTTGAATCACCAATATGCCAAACTTGAGCCAGTAAGAACTTAGGAGTAGAGGAAAATTCAAGTAATAATTTTGATATCAATCTTAGGGTCTCAAATCGGCTCTAAATTTCCATTTTATCCCTTACCATAGTACCCCTAAGAGTTTTATAATTTATAAAGCCGATGGTGTTTTGTTCTGGAGAATTTGTTGTTAGAGATTTGGTTGTATAGAGGTTATTAAGCCGAGTTATGAGAGTCCTACAATCACCTAATTTCATTGGGTTTGCAAACTGGGAGGCTCCTTAGTCATTAGTTATAAGAATTGCTAGGGCTCAGTACATTGCTGCAGATTAAAATGGTGAAGACAAATGAAGGTTCAACTCCTCTGAGGGAGATTCTTCCAAATATGAGCACTTTTAGCTACTCTATAGCAATTTTTGCTGCTTAATAACTTATGGCTTGTGTTTATTATACTGATTCTCAGCCGCATGTTCAATATGTCATTAAAAGCTCTAATATTTTTAGCAAAAAGAGAGCTCAGAGGCATCAATACAGCCAGCAACTCTCGCAATAACAAGGTAATATTACTACCCCACAAACACTCATTGATCGGACAAAGTATCAGCCAACAAGAGCGTATTTTTCAATTTTTGGTTAACTCTTAGCTTAAAACTCCACCATTAAGACTGAATTACTAGCACGATTTACCTGATCCTCTAGTAGCTCTAATCCTTTATTAGAGATTTTAGAGGCGATACCGAGTCACTCTATTTTTTTATTGTACTTTGTAATACTAATTGTCTTGGCTAATAGTAGTTTCCAATAACTTTAAAATAAAGTTTGTAAACCACTATTTATACTAAAAGCTCTCATTCTTAGCTGAATGCTCATATGGCTTCTGAAATTCTATTGCTAATGCTCTCACTCAGGACTTCTTCTGAAAAATAGCAGGATCGGGGCCGGCTAGTATAAATTTCAATACTAAAGTGCAAGTTTGGGGTTTTGGGGTTTTGGGGTTTTGGGGTTTTGGGGTTTTGGGG